TACTGTTATGAATCGTAATGTAAATATCTTTTTGTTTTCCGATGGTCTTAGGCGACCCCTGTGAAAGGGTCGTTCGACCCCCAAAGGGGTTGCGACCCACAGGTTGAGTACCACTGCAAGTATATCATTTTAATGGTGAAAAATAAAAATGAAAAATCTTTCAACAATGAAAAACACTATATAAAGTATTATTAATATAATTGCTGGTACTGTTAGAATGACCAAATACCTTTGTGTTTTTGTTTTTGCTGCTTTCTCTGTCCAGCTCCTGGTCGAATGCATAAGATTTCTATGCTCTCCTCATTCGATCCTGCCATTGTGGTGGGGGGAACACCTGAACACCTTTGTTGTCTATCCGGTCAATAGGACATTTTTCCAAATTGAAATCTGGCAACTCTAGGAAGGATTTGGTGTGTGCTATTGAGTGACAAGTCTGAAGCAATTTCTCCTCCGGGAGGAATCCTCACCTACTGTGCAGGGTTTTAATTGTCTGGAGTACCTCCCTCATCACCCTGGTGGTCTTTCCCTTCTCAGCTACTCACTGAGCTTGCCCACTGTCCTTTTCACTGTCTCTGACCCTCTCTGGATGAGTCTTGTTCTCACTGAGCTTGCCCACTGTCCTTTTCACTGTCTGACCCTCTCTGGATGAGTCTTGTTCTCCTAACTGTGCAGTACTCCGCTTGAGTCCAGGATCTGTATTTTAATTATCGTTGAACTTTCCAGGTCACTTCCCATTCTTCTCTTCCCATGCTACTGGTTGATGAATTCCAATCTCGGATAAATCCTTCTTTTTAACTACTTAATACCGTCTGAATTTAGCAAAATGGTTGTCCAGCAAAATAATGGAGAAGCCTGAGTTTCTCCATCTGATGAACAAGATAACAACACTTCATGATGATGATGATGATGATGATAGTAATGACAATAACTAACACGTATTGGAAATTTACAATATCCCAGACATTATACTAAGCGCATTACAAACATGACTTCATTTCGTCCTCCCAGTCACCTAATGAGGTAGCGATCATTATCTCTCATTGATAGAGA